GGGAGAAGCAGCGCCAGCACTTCCGGCGGTTCTGCTACCAGGAGGCCGAGGGGCCCCGGGGGGCCTACAGCCGGCTGCAGGAGCTTTGCCAGGGGTGGCTGAAGGTCGAGCGGCACTCCAAGGAGCAGATCCTGGAGCTGCTGATCCTGGAGCAGTTCCTGACCATCCTGCCGCCGGAGATCCAGAGCTGGGTCAGGGACGTTGGCCCAGAGACCTGCGCCCAGGCAGTGGCCCTGGCCGAAGATTTCCTCCTGAGGCAGCCGGAGGTGGAGGAGCAAGACCATCAGGTGAGACCCTTTGGTCATGTTGTCCGTGTGTCACCCGGAGCCACAAGCATCAGTTCCAGGGCTGGGAAAGACATGTTGTGCCCGGCCTCATCGGTCCAAAACCCCTAAAACAAGGCGTAATCAGGATGGCTGGTTGTCCATGAGACATGCACCCTGCAGGAGGTTGCCTGGGTTCACACAAGCGATAAGGCTTCACAGTGTGCCACCCAGGATGGGTTGTTATGTCCCGCAAACACTGTCTCCACCTTCAGGAGCTTTGTGGGCAGACCTTTCCAGGAGATCCAGCCCACATCATCTGCCACTTGAGGCCCTCACATGTTTTCCCAGCTGCTTCTGCATCTTCGTGTTTCTTTTTCTTTCTTCAACAAACTCCTTTGGGAGGCAAAGATGGAATCGTGCAGTACCATGCGCTGCTTGCAGCTGGCCATCTAAAAGCACCTTCCATCCCTTGCATCTAGCTGACTTGGTGCTCCAGATGTTTTGGCCCACAAGTCTCAGGAACCACCACCATTTCCTGTGCTGGTGAGAACATCTGGAGTGCCAGAAGCCACCCACCTTGATCTAGTCCTTTCCCATCTCCTCTTATGCCTTACCTTAACAGGGTCCTCTCTGCTACATTTCAGGTGGGACTTGAAGAAATGGCTATGAGTTTCCCCACTGTAAGCCAAACACCTTCTGAGGTTGAGCAAAAACAGCTGGGTATGGAGGCCAAGAAGGAAGATGAGGAGGAGGCTAGACTAGCAGGTAAACAGAGCATCCTTCTGTCTTCCTTGAATCCCCAGAAGCACCTATGGCGATTTCAATCCATGTACTGGCGAACGTACAGGGCTGTTTCTTTTAATAGCACAAAGAAAGATGATAACCATTCTAGTCAGAGGAGCTAAAATGGACCAACTAGATGTCCAAAAGTCATACAAAGCATGACAAGCTGATTCCAAAATCCTGGGCTGGATGGAGCTGGGCTGTTGAATCTCTTCCACTCCAAGGGCCGCATTCCATTTCTGAGAAGCTCTTGGGGGTGGTGCCTTCCAGTGGTGGGTGGGGCCAAAGGTAAAAGGGGTGGGACCAAAATATGTCAAATGCCAGAATATCATCACTTGTAATTGTTGATTAATTGTTGCTTTCGTTGTTTTTTTATGATCTGGGTTGAGTGATCCTTTGGCCCCTCAGACACTGGGATTCTTTGGATTTGGAGAGCCGAGGTTGATAACAGAGCTCCAACTTCGGAGCTGGCACCCTGGTCAGCTAGTGTGGAAAGCGCTACTCCAACTGCTTCTTCCAGGCCAGAAAGTGTGGAAAGCGCTACTCCTACTAAGTTAGGAGTAGAGGGATATTCCAGGGGATACGGTAGGGAGGATTCCAAGGTTGCCAGGATAGGACCTGTCTTAGCAGCCCTCCAGTCTCCTTCCCTCTCCATCTAAGATTCTGCAGCCACACAGGGGAGATCAGCCAACTGGAGGAGCAGTGAGATAAAGTTCACCCCCTCACACCTTCCAATCTGCACGAGATGCTCATAAATATCCAAGTTTGGAGACTCGTAGGAAGCACAGAGAGTGCCACCAGCAGGACTGTGCCCTCATTGGACTGATGGACCAAATCATTTGTCTCATTTCTCCCACAGGTAAAAGGTGGCTGGGTGTCCTCGGGGAGGAAAAATATCCATTGGAAGATTCTGAGCATGTGGGATCATGTGAATTGGCAGGGGAGAGAGCAGAAGAGCACTGTTCCTCATGTAGTGAGCAAGAAAATGCCTTGGAGGGTCAAGACTGGCCAAATGAAACCCCCACAGCAGAGCATGTGGATGAATCTGCTTCTTGTGGGGCTGATTACAAGGACTTCAGTGAAACTGCTGACCAGCAGGGAATCCACAGTGTTAAGAAACCAAATGCATACAGTGTTTGTGGGAAAAGTTGCAGCCAGAATGCAGATCTTCTTCTTAATCAGAGAACTCACACTGGAGGAAAACCACAGAACAAGTGTTTAATTTGTGGGAAATCCTTCCTCTATAGCTCAGATCTTATAATTCATCATGGAATCCACACAGGAGAAAGACCATATGAATGTCCTGACTGTGGCAAAAGATTCAGCCGGGGCTCAGACCGTAATCGTCATCAGAGAATCCACACTCAAGAAAAGCTATACAAATGCCTGGTGTGTGGGAAGTGCTTCCTTTATAGCTCAGACCTCATCATTCATCAGAGAATCCACACTGGAGAGAGACCTTATGAATGCTTGGACTGTGGGAAAAGGTTCAGTTGCAGTTCAGATCGTAATCGTCATCAAAGAATCCACACTGGGGAGAAACCATACATATGCTTGGACTGTGGGAAAAGGTTCAGCCAGAAGGTTCACCTTAACAGGCATCGTCGTATTCATATGGGGGAAAAAACGTATACATGTCCAGACAGTTTGGGTGTCAGCTGATGCTTCCTTGTATGCTAGAACATGCACTCATTCCATTGTGTGATGTTAATTTCCTTAGGTACATTCTCCTTTGATTAAACTGTTGACCGTGGGCAAGGTAGTTCTGAGCTTACATGTCCCAGATCCCCACTCAGTTCTTTCCTTCTCTGTCAAGTCTTTTTCCAATTTAATTTGCTTCATTTTCTGCTTTCAAACTTTACTTTGTCCCCTCCAGGAATTCATCCTTTTGGGATTCTCTTTTTTCTCCAACAAATAAAGGGGTGGTTGATTGTACATGAATATGTTTGTTGGGTTCTAATATTCAGAGCAAGCAGGGTGACAAGGGGATGAAAAGGAGATAATGCTTTTCAATTTGTAAACAGAAAAGTGCTTTGAAGGTTCAGGATGAAACTCATCCTGTGAACAGTGGGTGATTCTTCTCCGAGTGGGGCTAGTGATAAGGATTTCCAAGAAAGCCACTTTGCATCGAAGAATCCACACCAGCAAGAGGAGAAGCACTTTCCAAGTTTATTGGGTGAGCTTCATCCCAGGTTTGGGTTCCCCTAAAAATAAAAAAAAAATCCTATTAGAGGAAAGCCACAGAAGGGCTGGTTTAGCAGAGAAAGCTTTCTTTGTAGTTCTGAGCTGGTCATTCATCACAGAATCTATGCCACCAAGAGAACATCCAGTTCTTAGTGTGCGGGGGAAACTTTGTTTCAAATCCTCTATAGGCATTGAAGAATGGACTCAGGAGAGAAACCTTCAAGTTCATCAGAGAATGCACACAAGAGAGAAGTTGCATGAATGCCCCTCTTGTGGGAAAGGATTCCTGGAACAGTTCAGGCTGCATGTGCCACCCGAGAATTCACACTGGGGAGAAATTCTTTGAATGCTCAGAATGCAGGGAAGGGTTGTGCTGAAAAATCTACCTTAATAGCCATCAGAGAATCCACAGCAACAAGGCATGCAGGGAAAGGGGAAGTGTGATGTCACGGCATAACAGAGGCATTTGGAAGGGAGAAAATGCATCAATGAGTGGGTATACAGAAATGTGACAACACTGCAGGGTGTGATTTTAACAACAAAAAGACACATCTAGAAGAGATTTCTAACTTGCTTTCTAGTGAGCTCCTGTGGGAAATAGTACCTATGAAAAAGTATCTTCTAATTTTTATTGTTTTGTGGATTCAGCTATGTTGTATATGCTGGTTTTGCTGTTATTTTTGCTAAGGCTTTTTCAAAATTTTGCATTTGTCTATCACAGGGCTGCAGAAGCCAGGTCTGGGGGCCGAACAGGCTAGCAGGGTTGCACGAGAAGCAGCCAGACTGTTTGGTCCATGCAGCTCACTCTCGTCAGCACGGGCTCCAGCAACGGACCAGAGTGAAGAAGTTCTTCCTAACTCCATTTGGAGAGGCCCGTTATCAGATTTCAAGATTTCTTCCAGTGAAGCCTTGGTTGCTGGCAGCACGAACTACAGCAGGCTGGTCGAACCGCAACGCAGAAGCTGCATGTCGCTCTCTGAATTTATTTTGCCTTTGCTGGCCAGGTCACCCAAGAGCCTGCCACCTGTAGGAGCCTGCTTGCAGCTCTCAAACGTTTGGCATTTACCGTATGTGACTTCCATTGAGCAAGTCCGGCCACTCCTGACTATAGCTTCCATATAGCCCAAAGTGCCTGACCCTGCCTAATCTTGCAAGCTAAGCAGGCTCAGGCCTGGTGAGAATCTGGATGGGTGACCTGAGTTTCTGATTATTTGGTTATTGCTGTAAACCACCCAGGACAGCTTCAGCTATGGGCAATGTAGAAATACTAATAATAACTAAATTATGTTGGTACTCTCTTGTGAAGAGCCAGTGTGGGCTACTGGTTAGACTGGGACCCAGGAGATCCTGGTTCTAGTCCCCAGTTGGCCATAAACCGCACCAAGTGACTCCAAGCCAGTCACTGACTTTAAGCCTAAACTACTCCACAGGCTTGTTGTGAGATAACAGAGAGGAACTTTAGTCTGCAAGCTTCTCTGACTTCCTTGCCAGAGGAACAAGTAAATATAATAATATTTGGGTCTCTTCCCTTTTGCCTTTGTCCCACACCCACCACTGGCTTGTGAGAGTTTCTCTAAAATTGGATGCAACCTTTGATTGGAAAGACATTTAGCACTTGAGAGGAACTCCTGGTCTGAATTAGTGCAAGACCAACGTCCTCCATATTCTGTCTTTTAAAATTAAATGACTCGACTGCATTTCTGTTAATGTGATCAAAATGAATGTTGTATCTTCTGACCACCAGTCGATTCACACAACTGTGGAGGGTTGTTCGCTGGAGTGAAATGTGTCTCCTTCGTACATGGGCATCAGCGTGGGTGGGTCAGCAAATTCTTGGTGCTGAAAATGGAATCTGGGTAATAAAATTCTGGACTGTGCCAGGATGCTCATCCTTGGTCATTTCACTGGGAAAGGATGGAGCGCCATCTGGGGAAAATCTTTACAAGTTCGGTGTGGCATGCCTCTCTCATGCTTGTGGATCACGAAACAGAACTGTAAATGTAGCCTGCCCTCAATTTGGATCAGGGCCACAGCATAGAGGAAAGGTGCTCAAATCTTCCTTCCTGAAGTTGCTAGTCCTCATAAAGGAAGTAATTTAACTGACCCCAATATTGGTACTCTGAAATGTTCTCCTCTGTAGCAGACTATTGGAGACATTGGAAATTCAGAAGACTGTTCAGCATCACTGTGCCTTGTGTCAGAGGAAAGCATGTTGCAGGTTGAGTGAGATAGGGGGTTTTCAACGTTTGAATGGGGAGAAAAGGTAGGAGGAAACTTTAAAAACTGAGTAAAATGACAACACACTCCAAGGAGGACGGAAGGAGTAGAAAACAAGTGAAAATCTGGGCGGTGGGAAGGAATCTTCACTTAGTTTTCCAAGTGACTAAGGGTGCAATCTGATGCATATTTAGGTGGAAACATGACTGACAATGTCCAGCATTCCTCATTTTCCTCAGCCAGCCTGAAAAAAAAATCCTACAACTTTTAGCTTTTCCAGCCAGAAAATCGTAGGACTTTTCACTATCTAGACTTGGGTAGGACTGCACCCTAAATGCGACAAATGTTGATACTTTCCTGAAAATGTATCCTGCCCTATTCCCAATGACAATCAATGCAGTGCATTGCTATCACTGGATAAATTGACATTAAAATGCACACCAGAGCCTGAGAAACACCTAATAAGTCTCTGCCCCCAAAGACTTACAATTTTTTAGAAAAGTATAGGCACCTAACATTTGCAAAGTTGTGTTCCTAAAGAGCAGAAACGAGCAAGGAAGAAGTACAGAGTTCAGCCAAAAATCTGGCAAAAAATCCAGAAGGGTTTTTCTGGATTTCATGTCCCAGGCCGTTCTGCTGCCTGAGTCCAATGGCAGAAGGGAACCTGTTCTGATTCATGAACAGGAGGTGGCACTTTCTTTCTTTAGTGCTAGCAAGGGAACGCTGTTGTCCTGCATCCGGAGGTGGCGGACTAGCTTACAGCAGGTCCAGAACGGCTGCCATGGCCTCGTGAAACATCTTGCTGGAGACCTCCAACTTCCGCTGCCCAAAGCAGGAGCAGTGCTCTGCCCCATTGCAGAGTCAGCTCTGGAAAGGTTTATCAGGCGGACTGGGAAGAAACGAAGGGGAAGCCTTTTGCTGCTCTTCGGTTTGGGAAATCCAAGAAAGCCCCAAGGTACTGTGTGTGTGAGAGATGTAGAGGAGCTGAGAAAAGGGCCAAACTCAGGGTTATTCTTTCCTCTTCATTGTTTTAAGATAAAGGCACATAACTCAGCATATCGGCAGACAAGACTATCTGCTGTTGCAAGGCGCTTTCACCTTACCCTATAAGGTACTTACCTTATATTAAGGGTGAACCTAAGAATGTCCCATCCACAACAGCCCTGCTCAACGCTTGGAAACGTAAGGCTGTGGCTAAAGTAGGACAGTTTCAGTTTAATCTTTTCTGCATCTAGGGAAGACTCTGGCTTGATTCGCTCTAGGACACATGTGTTCATCTTTCTGCTGGGCAAAGGCATTGGTAAAGCTCTCCTCTGACACCATGTTTTGAACGCATCCATTTTCTTCCTGTCTGCTTACTTCATTGCCCAGTTTTCACACCCATACATGGTGATCGGGAATACAAGAATGAGAATGATCTTGGCCTTGGTCTTTATTGCAATATCCTTACATTTGAGGATCTTTTCTAGTTCCTGCATTGCCACCCTTCCAAGTTTCCATGGTCTTCTAAATTCTTGGTCACAATCTCTGAATTGATGACTAGGCCAAAACATGCAAAATCTTGCACAATTTCCATTTCTTCATGATTGACTTAATTCTTCTGTAGTCATGAGTTTTGTTTTCTTAATGTCGAGCTGCAGTCCTGCTTTTGCACTTCATTTACTTTCATCAGGAGTTGTTTCAATATATTGCTGTTTTCTGCTGAAAAATGCTCGATGATACTATAGGAGTACATCTTTAAACCATTTGAAATTGCTTGGCGAGCAGGCTAATAAGAAAATAAGATGAGTGAATATCATGTCCCTGGAAAGGAGAAAAACAAATCAGGGCAGGAGTCTTCCTAAATGTGCCTATGAAAAACTGAATGGAAATCAGAGCAATAGAATATGTTAATTCAAAGGAGACTGATCTTATTCACAGTAATACAGGAACAGCAGCAGCGCAATGATGTTGTCGGGCATCATACTCAGGGTGGTCCTATGCATGTGCACTTAGAAGGAAGTCCCATTGATGCAACTGGTTTGACTCCCGAGTCAGGGGCTGCGCGCACACAGCCCCAGTCCAAGCAGATAACTACTGTGCATCTACAAAGATCTAGAATAGGGACTGAGAGTGAAGAATTTGTAACACTTAATCTTGATCCACGGAGCTGTGGCCAGCAAAGGACTAGGCATAACCCTGTAGGACTGCCCATAACCTTCCAAACATGGGGGGATTGTGGGCATCCTTCAGAGG